GAACAAATTAAATTAGTACATTATTTACAAAATTATTTAAACAATATAAGAATGGTGTTTTGATTTCCAATTTTTATCGATACAAACTGTAAAAAGAATCTGATAAAAAAATATCAAATAAAAACACCTCTTAACGAGGTAAAAAACTAGTGACGAACGCACCTTCAACATACAAAAGTTCTGATATCAGCATTTGTGACGAAAAATTATTACACTCGTCATTAAATAGACTTTCTAATATTTTCTCATTCGGGCCGCCCTAGCAAACTATTCCAGCCCTTTTCCCTTTACAGGCATTTTCTATTGCAGCGTGCCGAATGAGAAAATATTAGAAAGTCTATTTAATGACGAGTGTAATAATTTTTCGTCACAAATGCTGATATCAGAACTTTTGTATGTTGAAGGTGCGTTCGTCACTAGTTTTTTACCTCGTTAAGAGGTGTTTTTATTTGATATCAGAAGTTTTTGTTTGTTTACATTTGCTCTCATAGGAGCTTTTTTCCCGCTGAAGTAGCGGCTTTTTCCAAAAGTCGTAGAACAAAAGATTCCTATATGGAACTCTTAAGTGCAAATTTACTGATTCCATGACCCTAAAATACAGTTCGTATACCCTCACACAAAATTCAATACTCAGGGAGCGTTAGTTGTTCGAGCTGGCAAAAGTGGCTATTTTCGTATAAAAATAACTTTTAAACGTGACTTTTTACAGTAATGTGTTATATACCAAAATTTAAGGAATCTCAAGGGCTATACAGTTTAAAGTTGTAAAGAAAATCGTTAGAGCCGTTTTTGAGAAAATTAAAAAAAAGCTAAAAAGAAAGTTTAAAAAAAATGTCTTTTGTTCATATCTTTTTAACTATTACATTTACACAAATTGCATATAGGAGGCGTTTATAGCATTTAAAAATACTTTTCAAACGGGATGCAGCACAAGTCTGTAGCTTTAGTAGTATAGAAGTTACGGAATTCCGAATTTTAGCTATTTATAGCTGTTTTCCCGCTAAACTAGCGAGTTTTTCCAAAAGTGGTAGAACAAAATTTTGTTATATCGATGTGATGAACGTCATATTAAATTTTCAAAACTTAAGAAACATGTTTTGGACAAACTGACAAACTGACAAACTGACAAACTGACAAACTGACAAACTGACAAACTGACAAACTGACAAACTGACAAACAGAATTAAATTTTCATTTTGGGAAGACGAAGAAAATCTTATTTTGGCTATAACTTTTGAACGGAGCGTCCGATTTTGACAAATGACCCCTCATTCGACGGGTATTTTCAAAAGGAATACAAATGAAATCTTGCGAGGGGGCAATTATCCCCACCGGCCCCAACAGCTCCAAATTTCGAAATTTTTACTTTTTCACTTTCACCGCTCTCTCTCCCAAGCCAATTGATTTTCTCAGAGTCTTGGTATGCAATCCTGTTAGTTTTCGCAATACCTTTCGATAGGTGTATCATTCATTATGATCGGACCATCACAGTAGATTTTCATTTCTTCGTGTATATATAGTAGTCGCCTTCGCACACTCTCCTGGTGCGCTTCGTCACTACATATATATTTCTAAAATGTATATTTCCAAGAAATTTTAATAGTAATTAAATAAACCAAACTATTTTCCTATTAAATTGTATTAATTTCTCTCAGTGTACATTTTCTTGTCCACTCCATTCTTGTTCATCTTTTTTTTGGCAACGGTAAATTGAAATACGCAGTTGATTAGCAGGGGGCGGGCCCAGGGGGCGTGGCTAGTTAGTTTCTTCTGGCCGTGACCGCCGCCGTTGTCACTCAGAATGGCCCAAAACGCACACTGGAATTGGCCGGGCCAGCTAATTTCAAAGGTAAGCGCGTCAAGAACAGTTATGAGCTCCGAGCCGAAATGGAATGGCCATTCTGGGGAATGGGAAATGGCTATTGGGATTGGGAATGGGTTGGCCATGGCCGGGAATGGGCCAAGATGGGTTGCGGTGGGCTGGGACCAACAGACCGCCTTGGGATGCCGCCAGCCACTCGCAAAAACGAGATGAGCACAAGAAAGAGACTTTAAAATGTGCTTAAAAATGCGCGATGGCCAAAGGCGACGCGTTGTGAAGGAATGAACCCCTTTTAAAACTGGTATATAAACTTATGGCCGGGAAAACATCATAGCAGCGGTGTGATTTTCGCACTCTCATTAATTCTTTAAATAAAATACAATTTATAAAATATTTAATTCTTTGTGCAGTTCGAAAAAATAACTCCGAAATATTTCATTTTTATTATAATAAATTTTTACAAAATTGTTGAATTCAAAAAAACCTAAAAGAAGTGATAGAAAAAGATGTTTTAAGAATATGTTTTACAATTTTTAAATCATTTTTTTTAAACTTAAACTTAAAGCTAAAACAGCCCGTCTTGTTTACAATACTATTTTTACAGTTAGACAATTTCAAAACTGCTTTCTTAGTCTTACATCATCACATTTCCTTCCTATTGCCCAGCATGCTTTATTTTATCTAGATCTAAAGGGTATTAAAAGATGACTTCAAAAAAATAAGCAATGTTACGCGTGCGACGCATTGCGACACCGAGAACACTATTTGGAATTGAATTGGGAATGGGTTGGTTACGGTTACAATAGTAGTTGCAGATGTTGCTGTTGCAGGTTGCTGTTGCAGATGTTGCTGCTGTACTTGTACTTGCAACCGTTGCGCTTCAACTGCGTCCATGCATCAAGTTGGCTGCGAATTCTGCACGCCGCGGCGTCAGATACAAATACTAAACTTGATAGAGACATAACTTGCATGCAGCGATGCAGGAAATCAGCAGAAGGCCAACAACAGCAATGGCCGCAGCAGGTGTATATATCAAAAAGCACGGAAAGATTTTTATAATATTTAATGGACATTACATTTTGGGATTTTAAAGAACATTTTATTTTTTTTTTTAAATGGGATTTATTGTCTAAGTGAAATTTTCAGTAAAAAAGGTTTTGTACATTTAAGATAACTAACTTATAAACTTATAAATTACATTTTAAAACTAACATACAGTTTTTTAAATTTATTTTTACACTTAAGGATTAGGTAAAGAAACTGAAAATAACTTATAAATCTATCGATAATAATTTTCTCGCAGTGCATAGTAGTTTGCAGTTTGTGGTTATAGGCCTTTGGATCTGGGCCTGGCACTTCCACTTGTTATTCTACTTCGGTTCTCCTGCGCGGTGCGTGAGGGGAATCTCGGCGAGAAATGGAAAAGAAAATTAACCAAACATCAGGTTTTTATTCACGCTAAATTATGTTCGTAGCATCTGTAGTTACACTTTATATAGTCACTGCATAATGGTTATAGTCATGCCAATTTACTGCGACTTTGTAGTCAGTCGTCTGTCTTTCTCGAATTAAAAGGGCATTTTGCCGGTGATGTCATCAAGGTATCACAAACTTAAAGACCAGTTTCGGAAGAGTAGTTTCCTTCACAAGTCCATAACCATTCCGAGTTTATTCGCTTGAACTCTTTTGAACTTGTGGGAGAGGCAAAATATCCCAGCGTTGCACACTGGGCCAGAAAGTTAATTTTTTGGCCAAAAATCTGTAATTTCTTTCCTAGGACAGTTAGAAGGATGCAGTTTTTTGCGTTTTTTTCTTAAAAGATTGAACTTTCCAACGAACTAAAAGTAAAATTTCTTGGAATTTTATATGATATAGATAATCCAGACCAAAGTCGGAAAATTTTACGTACTTTTCGGTTTTTTATTTTTAAAAAAATAACTAGAAGACGCACTTCTTCCATTTTCGAAAAACAATAAAGTATGAGATAAAACAAACTAAAAAAAATTAACATCACTAAAAAATATTATGTCATTTAAGATTTATGAACCGTTAAAAAGTGCAACTTTCGGAGGCTCCCACATCAACGTTTATTGAACAATCGATTTAAAAAAAATTTCTATTTTTTTGTTCTTGTTATCTTTTAAGTTTTATATAATCAAATTATGTAAAAAAAATTGTTTAAAAATATTGTTTTTTGATTTGTTTAATGTTAATTTGACATATTCTGAAGTCATCACAAAAGTATGCTACATTTTTATTTGCATAGTCCTGATTAAATAAATAGATATACGTTTGGAAAATACCATAATCGATTAGTGTACGTAAAAAGTAGATTTTAGATGTTAGTCACACTAAAATCAAATTTTTGAGCGCAAAATGTTCACCAAAACCTGAAGAAGTAAAGTATGGCATACTCTTGGGCTCTCTTAGCTAAGCTCTTCAAAATAGCTCGACTTCGAGTTAAGCCTTCAATTAAAACTTAAATTACCGAAAACTAAGGCAAAACCGCATCGAGTCGGTGGGCTACGCTTTTAGTAAATTGATCAACGAATTTTTTTTTTGAAGGAATGAACTAATTTGGGGATGGCACTCGAAGGCACTCGAAAAGCAAAGTACTCATTTGCTGAAAAAAAGCGTAAAAATTAACAATTACATTTATTTTAGCAAACAAGTAAGACATACGAGCTATATTATATTTTTTACTTGTTGAAAATAATCCCTTCTGCAAGTTTCGGAAAGAAGTCGAACAGCAACATCAGCATCTTTGACTTCTAAATTTTTTTTCATTTCCATCAATATTTTATGAATTTTTCACTTTAAAAATATGGTAAAAGAAAACTACTTGCCCGAATTCTTTGAAACTTTGGCATAAATTAGTTTAATGTATTATAAAAAGGATCCCAAACTCAATTTGGTCATTTTCTTAAAAAAGAAAAACGTATTTTTGGCCAAAAATCTGATCGGCTGGCCCAGTGTGCGTTGTAAAAATACAGTTTTTCTTGTTCTGAGTACTTAAGATTTTAGATATTAACTAAATTCCAAGAAAATAAAATTAATTTAATACTAAATAACTTCGTATTATAATTATAATTAAAAACTAAAAAACATTCACCCTTTTAAATTAAAATTTATAAAAATGCTAAATTAAGTATAACTCTTCAATAGTTAAATAATATTATTAGTGCTTCTTGACCTTTGTTACCCTACTAATTTTTGAGATTAGCGTTTTAAAAATGTATTGAACTAACGCTTTGATAAGAATTAAAATACCAACTAATAAGGCAGCAAACAAGACGTGTATATCCAGGTTATTGGCGGCCACAAAGTCCATGTGAACCAAGGGACTCTGGAGATGGGCAGCTCCATGGTGACGGATGACGTACTCCGTCCAGAAAACCACCGATTCGCGGGCACTCGTGGGTCTATCTCGATAGAGGGAGGAGAACTGGGCTACCTTTTGGCTGTACTTTGGATTCGGTAGGATCTCCTCGATGGCCTCTTCGAAGGGCTTCTCCTCCAGACTGAGTAGGCTAAGGGTGAGGCCAAAACCGTTCTTAGCCATGGCAAATGCATTGCTGGGTTGATCACCGAAAACGGGCAATGAAAGCATGGGTTTGCCATGATACTGCGATTCGGTAATACCTCCTTTGCCGGCATGATTGATAAAAAGCTTTATATTCGGATGGGCCAAGATGTCGTCCTGCGGCAGCCAACGGGAGTATAGAATATTATCGGAATGACCAGGAGTCTTTTCTAGATCCTCCCACTTCCAGATGACTCGCTGCTTTAGTTTGGAGAGGACTTTAAACATCTTCTCAACTGTATCGGACTTTATGTGGCTTCCCTGGACATTGGAACCCAGGCTCAGGAGAATTGCTCCATCAGTGGCATTTCCCAGGAAGTCCTCGATGTTTTTAGGTAGAACATCTGGTTTGTCCTTGATCTGTATGCCTCCAATCTCGATGGCGGCTGGAACATTCGCTCTTATGGATCCCTCACTGGCTGCATGGGAACAGAAGAACACCAGTGAAGTATTCTTAAGCATTTCCGAGTACTCCGGCATGTTGGGGTCATCAGCAAAGAGTTCCCTGGTAAAAAATTAATAAGATTACAATTTTATTATTAAATAGTTATAATAATTACTTGTAAAACTGTCGATTACGCTGGTCAATTTGGCGCACGAAGACCTGATAGAAAAGACTGGTTATGTAGCCATCCAATCGCTGACCGAAGGACATGTCCTTATCCTTTTCCACCACATCATGGGGATTTCCTATTAGATAGTTCAACATCTGGCTTGGTGGACCTGGGGCCAAAACGATGACGGGAGCGTTTACCTTTCGAGCGAATCCCAACTGGTAGTCATTCATGAAATAGCCCGAGATAACCAAATCGAAGTGGTTGCCTTTGTTCAAATACAGATTCTTAACTCTTTCGTCTTTAAAAACATCTGCCATCTTCTTCAACATGGAGTCCATTTGACTTGACATGTTAAGAATAGATGTCAGTCGATTGCTACTGTTATTCTTTTGTTTCGCGCCAATAGTTTCGCTCCTTTGCTTGATTTCCTCCTTGGTCATGGGAACTTGAACCAGGTGGATATTCTTGTGGGTAATTGTGGGTTCCAAAACGCTGACCACCGTCACATTGTGTCCACGTTCGGTCAAAACTTTGGCAGCCGACATCGAAATGATCAGGTGCGAGGGACTCAGACTGGGAAAAAGTCCCAGAATATTTGCACTGTGAGTTCCATGGATCGTAAGAAAAGTAACAGCCAGAATTGGAATTAAAAATCGACTCAAATCTCGCACCATTTTGATTAAACTACCCGTGAAAACTAAGCAGCAAGACTTTATAAAGGTTTAGATAAGGTTTACGTGAATGACACATCAATTGGCGAGGAGTACGTACTTTGTTGTGCTAGGTTGCGATAACCCGGAGTGCCCATAAAAATATCATCTACAGTATTTCCCGAAACCTTTCGGTATACACGTATTGATAGCACTTGCATTATCGCTTATAATATTCTGTTAATCTTTGGTTGTTAGAAAAAATTTAATTCCCATAATAGAAATCTAACCAACTTATCGGACGGATTTCAAGTTCATTAAGAACACGTCATTTATCATAAAAATTAATCAATGAATGAAAATGGAATTACTCAATTATATGATTAAAATAGTTTACTTTATAGTTGCTTAAATAAAATCCAATCTTTGGTTGTTTGAGTTTTGAAAATCTAACCAAAAATAAAATTCCTTATTACCACACTCATCAATCAAAAGCTTTCGTCAAACTTCAGCCAAAACAGTCTTTAACCTCTTAACCGCATAAATTCACCCATTTCGAGCTGCAAACAATTCCCCAATTTGACACCGATTTCTAGCCCCTCTTTTCGGCCCCGGAAAACCACACATAATTCATAATAATAATCATTAAAAAGTGCGACTGTCATTAGCCCAGAATCTGGGGTTCGGAAACAAAACAGAAACAGCGACAGCAACAGCAACAAACTACTGATGATGGTGGCTAAAAACAATGAGTCGCTTGTCGGCTGTTCCATTTTTGTGGTTTTGCCAGATCACGATTGCCCAAAAGATAACCCAGTTGTTGGCTGGCTAGCTGTTTTGGGCCAAAAACGGGGAGGGAAGACATTTGGGTGCAATTTGCCGGCAGAATGCAGATCTGGGGATCTGACACGAATCTCGGGTTCAGATCGCAAATAATTAGATGTAAGCTGAAGGAGGAGAAGGCCCAGTAATTACCCGTAGAAAACGCTCCCCAGCTGCGTTTTCAAACGTTAATAATCCCCCGGTTAGAAAATAAAGAAAAATGATCTCGATATTTGGCAAGAAATGGAAACTTTCTCGAGGCAGTTTTACTTTCGTCTTCGTCAGCTGCTCGCATTCTAATCCAAGACAGCGGCGGCTCATTAACTGGTTCGGCTGGCTTCTTGGCCAAGATCGTTGGCCTCATTATGCACGGGTCCACGACTTGGCTCCCCGGTTCCTCGGTTCTCTAACTAGTGAATGCACCTCAACGTTATGCTCGGCCGCCATCTGTAGATCTTAAGATCTCGAGAGTGCGTTCGAAAAAGGAAAACGGAAGCCGAAGCCGAAGTGGAAGCCCAATCCCAATCCCACAGATTTATGTGTGCCACATGCTAATCAACGTCAAAACGCCAGGCCCACGGTGGGTGAAATTTGAAATTTGAGCAGCCGCCGGTGGTTGCGGTGGTGCAGCTCCAGAGGCCCATTGAAATGGGTGAAGGTGAAGGCAAAGACTTGGCTTTGGCTTTGGACTTGGACTTGGTCGCCGATTCTTTCAGCTTTAAAAAGCAGTGAGAGAAATTTTTTAAAAATGTGTTTATGAAAGGGAAATATAAGTATTTGTTAAAAAGAAAAATAAGTAAAATACTAAGTAAAATAATGGAAAATATTTTTAACATTAACTAAATTCAATTGACGTAAATTTATTTTGTAATTCTTTGTATTGGAAGAAGAGGAACCCTTTAAAGATAAGTTAATAATAATTTTTGAAATATATTTTCCAGTGCAGTCTAGCTTGCAGATGAGAAAGTTTATTTATTTCGAACTTTTGTTGTTTTCCATTTTGTTTCTTGTGTTTTGCGCGCGCGATCTTAACGCTCACTTGGTTTTTGTGTTCTAATAATGCAAACAAAAGGCCAGACAAACCTTTTGTATCTGATGGCGATGATGATGAAAATCCCAAACTAATGGCTTTTCTATGCAAAATCCGGCGAGGTCCAAGTCCAGGCACTTCAATCAGAAAGTTAGCAGAACGCCTTTCGCCGGGGTCTCATCGTGGGCACGTCCCCAGCGACCTGGGGTTTTGGTTTTTGGATTCGGACCTCGAGACTTGGTAACTCCTCTCCTTGTTGGGCAACCGGCAGCAACAATAACAAGACGACTGCAGTTTTATGTCTTTTGTCGGTTCCCCTGTTTTATGTTAGTTCTGCCGGCTTCCGTTTGAGACGGCGAGCCCCTTGAAAACCAAGTAAGAGAACCTCGATAACTTTAAGAACCCGGAGAACCTCGAACGTGCGGTGTTGACAACACTTTGTGTGCCACTTTCATGCAAATCGTCGTCTGACGAGTCAACGTCTTAACATAATTTCGTAATTCTGTTTTACGACCAGAAGCGCAGACACATTAAACATTCGTATTCGTACTCTTGATGGAATCGTTAGGAACCTATTTCCGAAATTATCGCCTGATGATAATGACAGTTGGAACCTACATTTTGCCAAGCTTCTGCGACGGAAGTGAGAATTTCGTGGAGGAGGTCTTCTATATTGGGCACTGACCTTTTGGCAGACTTTCGTTTCCCTGGAAATCGATGCTTGGGAAAGATTCTCAAACGGAAATCAGTCTAGACCATCCATTTCGTATTTAACCCGTTTAGCAGCTGTAATATTTTCATTATCTTTTTATACCCAACTAGAGAGTATTATAGCTCTGCTTATATGCTCTTTCACTCCGAAATTGCTTTATTTACTATTTTTCACACACGGTGAAAGTAAAAAAATATTATTTTGGCCAATACAAATATTAAGTATGCGCCCCATATGCGTTCCCAATAATGAGTGAGCAAACAACTTATTTAGTAGCTATAAATATATATATATTTTCTGGGCATAAATAATTTATACAAAAATCGTAAGTCTAAGAGTCTACAGACTAATCTCGCTCTATGAGAAGTGCCTTTGCCCACTCGTCCTCCCTCGTGATCGCAGTTAAAGCTTGAGATTCAGAGGCGAGTTCACAATTGTGTAAATGTAAATCGGAGGATGCTGATCCCGCTGGTACCGTTGGGGCCTTGAGTTCTCGGGGAGGGGGCGTGGCTATGCGCAGTCATCTTCAGCTAAATGAAGTTTTCTTTCTGTTTTTTTTTCTCATCGTTTGACATTCAGCAAGACAAGTGGGCATAGCGAGCTGGAAAAGGCGGGAGGACGAGGCGGGGCAGTCGGTGGTTATTGGAGGGGGGCGGGGCACCTACAAGGTGCACTGGTACTGCTGTTGCTGCAAAGCACGCGGCAGCGTCTTGTGCGGCAGGTGGGCGGCCAAAGAGGAGGGGGCGGGCCTGCGGGGCGGTGAGCGGATCCGCTGGCGATGCAGCAGAACGATGCAAATGCTGATGATTATCACAGATAGCGAAACGGTTACCAGCACGCTGCTCAGATGGGAGCCAATATAACGCAGAACGGCTGCACAGGAAGAAAAAGGGATCGAAAGAAAAATATTTAAAGTATATTAAAAATGATTAACTTTTTTTAAAAATTTCTTCTGACATAATTTAATGAAAATTTAAATTTAAAAAATATGGGAAATAGATTATAATATTATCACAAAATATACGTATTGATTTCTTTTCCCCTGTGGCCATATATGGTCATTTAGGAATCACGATTGTCGCCGACAGGCCACTTACCTTCATCCTCGACGCTGCCACCTGGTGGTGATCCCACCTCCAGCGGCATCCAGGAGCTGTGGGCCTGGTCCACAACCAGTTTGGCGTACTTGGTGCCCACCACCGGCTCCAAATGATGTCCCTCCGCCGGCTCCTCCGCCAAGCCATTGACCTCGTTGAGGTTCAGAGCTCTGCCCTGACCTCTCTTCTGGGCAGTCTGTGCCTCTGTGGTGGATGGCTGTGTCTGCTCCACCACCGCTGCCTGTTCCACAGACTCGGATTCGGTTTGGGAGTCGGACGGGGAGTCCGGTTCCCGCAGCACCAGTTCCGTCTTGTTGACGTACCGCATCTGGCGGAGTTCCCTGCCCAAACGTTGATCTTCATCCGGCTGGAAGGGATCGTTGGGCTCATAGGCGGCAGCCACTCCGTTCTTGCCGGGTACAGTGAAGCTTGCCCGCACCGTCTGCATGCCCGACTGATAGCTGCAGACCACCACAAAGCTGGGATGCAATAGAGGGTTTTTAAAAATGATATATAGTAATTAATTATTAATTATATTAGGTTTTATATTGTAAATAATCACATCAATTAATCATACCGTCTAGTACTGTGTGTGAAGATTCCCAGATTTTCCTGCACCGTGATAAAGGTCTCCACCGTGCTGGTCTCCGGTTTCACCAAGCTCCCGCACTCCTTGTGGTCGATCCTCATCGTGTACTTGTCCGCAGAATCACTGGCATCGCCCTTGATGCCACAGTTGCCACCATCCACGACTATGCGTCCTCCGAAATAGGGACCCGTCTCCACCTCGATCTCTGAGGCGTGGGGCAAACACTGGGTGGCATGGGCAGTGACTGAGAAAAGTGGATATTAAAAAGAAATTTGATTTTCATACGGGAAAACAGTTACAATGTATTATAAATGGGATTATAGTACATTTTTTGTTCCACTTAATTTTTAATAATTATTTCTTATTCCCTAAAAATTGTAAAGAAACGTCCTTTTAATTCCTTTACAATTAATTCACAAAATAAATTAAAGCATACTTACATCCCTTGGTGGGTATGACGATGCTCTGGCCTGGCAGGTGTCCAGATCCACTTTCAACCTCATTCTCGTCATGGAATTCCGAGCGAGCATTGGAGCTGCGGGTTCCGCCCGCTAGGAGGCGCTTCTGAGCCGCTGGGCGAATGTGGAAACTGTATTTGGTGGCCATGCGCAAGTTATCCACAGCGGCGGCGAAGTGCTGCACCTGGGAACTGCACTCGGCACACAGATTGCGATAAATAATAATATTATTAAGTGTTAGTCATTTCCCTAAAGCAAAATGCATTCGGTTGTAATTCACGAGCTCAGCGCTATGTTTATTGTTCCTTTTCTGCGAGAGTTTTTTATGAAGTGTTTGTATATTTTTTCATAATAGTCTATAATGGTTATTTAACGTATATTCGATATTATTATTTTGATTTAAAGTTTAAAAGTTTAAAGTTTATTATAAAAAGAATATAATAAAAACGTATCCATTTCACCATACACAAAGATATATAGTAATTTGATATTAATGTAATTTACTCATTTAATGGGATATTCAGGTTTTTTATTTCATTTTTTTGTGAAAGTTGTTTTTTACTTTCATAGGATGTTGGTTTATTTTGTTTAAAAATATCCCTCAATTATTTTAAAGCTTTAATACGACTTGGGTATTTATTTTCAAAGTGCTAAGTTAATTATTTCATAAAAATATATCGTAAAAAATTAACTAAAAACGAAACCATTGCAATCATAAATAAAAAGTCGAATTTAAACCACGTTTTTTTTGGTTCAATCCCGTGTAGTATCCCATACCCTAAAGGGCAAAACGACTTACCCCAAGGGATCGTGCTCGTCCTCGTTATCCTCCTGGGAGACCTCGGCGGTGGTGCCATTCACCAATTTGACGCGACACCGCTGAGGGCCGTAGTTCTGCATCTCGCAGTAGAATATCTGGAATGCCAGAGCCCGGGGCGGTTCCACATCGCCGCTCATATTTGTCGCGTTCACCTGGCCCGCTCTGGAGTTGGAATCGGAGTTGGAGTTGGGGCTCGAATCTGTGTCATGGGCCGACGGCACGAATTCAACTTCCCAGGTCAGATTCACCGATTTGTAATTTGGTTCACCGGCAACGCCGCGTATCTCTATTGAAGGTTACAAAAGCATGAGCATGGGCAGCAACGGGAAAACGGGGTTATAGCCAAGATTCGTGGCAGTGGCAATGGCAATGGTAGTTGGAGTCGCAGTTGCAGTCGAGAGAGGTGCCTCTTGCATGCAAATCAGCTACCATGGTTACTCTACTACAAGACCATAAGTTCGGGGGCAAGGAACTCGTTTCCCGCCTCAGATTTAGACACGCTTTTGGATTAGTTCTGTTTCGTTCGCTTGGTTTTTTTTTATTTTGTGGCCACCACTAAGTGGTTGTTCCCACTGGCAGATCGGCAAAAGAAGATCTGGCTGGCTGAAGTGTGCTGCCAGTTGGAAGTTTGAAGTTTCAAGCCGGAGTCCCCAGTTCTATGCCCCTGCACCTCTCCTGTTTTCTGCACTCAAGCTGCGAGTGATGGAGGATCTGGCTCAAAGTGTGACGTGAATTAGCCAAGGGGAGCTGGCAGTTAAGAGGGAATAAAAACTAGACCTGAACCTGACGATGATGCTGGGCGCTTAATGGGATGTGGGCAATCCAAGCACTTGGACTTCAAGTCTGCTGCTTGAGGAATGCTTTCGAGAGCTTCAGCGGAACCAGCTAAAATGTAGCATTAAATTTCGACTTGCAGTGCTCATTGCAATGATGCTGCACCTTCCAAATCGACCACAAATTATACCTTGCATTAAAAGTCAGCATTGCTGAAGTAAAACTGAGAATATAAAATGTTTTTACCATTTCTTTCTACAAAAAAAAACACTAAAAACTTAAGTTTCAAATTTCAACTATTTAATTGAATTTTCTCTATAAAAAAGATTTTTTACAGGGTTTTAAAATGTGTACTTTCGTCTGACTTTTCTTGGAATAAATGGTACAGATTTTTATTATTTAACAAGAGTTAAATATTTTCATTATTTTAATCAGTTTAAATGTCTTACTGTTTTCATAGAATTCAAAGGTTTCCCATAAACAAAGGATTTTAAAATCAAATTAAAAAAGTTTACAGCCAAGTTCCAAAGCGAAGTTCGTAACAATAAATCCTTGATCAATTACCCATTAATCTCGGCGACGAGTCCCAATAAATTTCAAATTTTCCGTACCCACTTAGCCCCGATTTCCTTGCGATTTCCCAAGCCAACCCAGCTTTGGTGACTTCTTCTGAGTCAGAACCTTGCATAATCTGCAATTAGAAATGCCATTTGCCGCAGCTCGCTTGTTTGTGTTTGGCCATGTTTCTGATGCTGCCAATGTTGCAGCTTCGTGTGGCAGTCTTTTCCATGCTTTTCCCATGTTGAAATCATTGACACCGATTTTGTGTGTGGCTGCGGATGGCGGCGGCAGCATTTTTAGGCGAATTTCGCACAGAGAACATGGAAAAGTGAAAATTCTGCGATGGCACAAATTCTGACATCGGGGCTACGTAGAGATGCCATTGCTAAGCCAAAAACGAGCAAAAGAAAAATGATTAGAAAATGCCACGGAAAATGACAGACACTTCAATTGCAGCATCGCTGATGATTAATGGGCACTTCGATCTTGGGAAGATGACGCGGCAATAAATTTCGGATAGGCCACATATATTTTTTGTGAGCCGTCACGGCTGCGGTATTATGCAAGCCAGGAAGGAAGTGGTGAGGAGATCACACGATCTCACAGATTCATTAATTCTCCATTGGCTCGGCAGCCGCCGGGAAGTTCTGTAATAAAAGATCGGCCGACAAATTGCCTCCCATCCAACCCAGATCAATCTTGATCTGTCACCGTTCGGTGAGGTAATTGCTGCGCTTTGGCTAATTCGATTAGAGAGAGCGAACGGCCGAAACGTGTGCTTGGTGGCCAACAATTACTGGCATTTTGCCCCGGCCTAATGACACTTTTGCTCTCTCAATCGAAAATCTCTGGGCAATTTCCGCTCTGCGGTTCTGGGCGTGCCGACCGCCCCCTTTTAGCGGCCAGAAGGAAATGTCGACACATTTCCCCCTCCGATTGGCACACCAGTGCAGAAAAAGAGCTGCCCGCCTGGGCGAGTTCGTTGTCTCAGTCTTTCGTTCGCCACCAAGGGCAGACGTAGGGAAAATACCTCAAGGAACATAACTAGGTTCAGGGAAAAAAACGCTCCGATCGTGACCAAATGCAATTAGCCAGCCTTTAACTGGCAGAGGTACATAAACAGGAAAATCAACACGTAAAAAAATATTAATAAAAAAGTTAGGACTGAACAAAATATTTAAAAAACAGATATTATATAAACACATTTGTCGTATTAAACAAGCAAGTTTAAATGTTGAATTTACATGTAAGAAATTTATTTACTACATGATTTTCGAGGTGCTATTGTTTTAAATATTTTTATTTTTTTGGAATTTTGAGTCAAGCAGTTTTTGATCTTTCTGAATTTTAAGGGTAAAATCATTTTAACTTTGAAGTTAATGGTACTAGTTTAAAGAACTATTATTATTATTTGTTATTTGTATATAAACCTTTATCATTTTGTATAAAATCTCATGCGGATAAGTGTTCCCATTAAAACAAAACCTTTTTTCTTTTTGTGTAGCTGACATGCCTGCGACCGCAGACTTCAAGTAGCTGCATCTCCAACTGGCCCTGCGACTGCCTGAATATATTCCTCGGATCGGAGGACTCACCATATTTGCTACCAGCCTTGGCATTGGCAATGGAATTGTTGCTGCCAGCAGATGTTGCTCTTGACGATGCTGCTGCTGTTGCATTGTTGCCGCTGCTCTTGGGCAGGCGGACTGGGGCGACGGACGGCAGCGACAGCAGCAGACACAGCAGCAACATGTTGCAGCTGCTGCCGTGGCCCGCCATTGATTTCGTTGACATTATTTTCGGTTGATTTATTTAAGTTTGCTATTTGTTCTCATCAAATGTGTGTCAGTCGGGAGTTATTGGGCGATTGGTCGTGAGGGAAAATGCAAGTGTTGCCAGGGGCTCACTATCGTTGATTTTTATTGAGTTTTTGAGCAGTTTTTAGGTTTTAGGGAGCATACAGTTTATTTTTTCGCACTCTTTGCTCTCACAGAACAATTCCAGCTGATTGCCAAATTCCACTATTGTCCACAAATAAATCGCATTTGTCACAGCACAAAAAATCATAAACCGTCATAAAAGTCTTTAGTTTTGAGTTCCGATTTTTCCGGCTCTCGAACCGCTCGCATAAACCTGTGCCGCACAACTGAATCGGCGGCTTAAAGCCAGGCCAACATCTGGCCAACTCGGATCAGCTGTTGGCCACAAGCGAACCCGAAGTGGAAGCCAAAAGACGAACCAATGCCAAGGCCGAAAAGAAAAGCTTTCGCCGGAGCTTTTCGCTCTCTCTCTCTGGCTCATTTTTCGGGTAGGGGGAAAATGTGAAAATGCCTTTTTCCTTATCAGCGGTCGCTTATCAGTTGACAAACAGCTCGATGTTTTCCCGCTGTGTTTTGTTTCCAAAAGGCTAAATTAAAAATCCATATATCGGGCCAAGCTTTTTCCATAATTAAGGCGGCCATTCCATTCCGATGGCCTCGAGATCATCACTTTCCCTTTTCTCCGGCTTCTTGTGGCCCATTGTCTTGTGGCTTTATTTTGCTTCCATTGTTGTTGCTCTCCCCAGCTGGCGGCTTTGATTAATGCTTAATCAGCAATATTATTGTTATTAGGTTTCTATAGCGGACCAGGGCAGCATTTTCATAAATAATTTGCCAGCCGCTTTGTGCCGAGCGCAGTCAATTATAAAGTCGAACAAAAAGTTTCTCTGCCACAAAAGATGCGACAAAAATAAATAAGAAGTGGAGTGCGCAACGAGTGGCATAATGAGTGTATATAATTAATTGTTAGCACTCATTGCATAATCGAAGACTTTGATCAGGGTTTCAGCAAATTTTGATTGAGAGATGACTTAAAGGCTAATTTTTTTTATAAATAAAAAATACAACTTTATGATTCGTAATTTATTTTATTATTTAATTTTATTTCATTTTTATGAACTAAGATTTTATTAATATAGTGATGAATAAATCTTTCTGTTTCGTAATTTATTTTATAATTTAATTTCGTTTCACTTGTATGAATTAAAATATTATTCTACCAATTTTTTCCTTACGAAATCCCAGACAATTAGCATGTTTATTAGAGGTAATTTGCTGCTTATCGCTTGAGCTTTTGCCCCTTGATAAGGTTAACCATTTTATATGGCATAATTTCCATCGCTTCCGCTCCGAAAAAAGGTTCTAACCCAACGACACGCATGGTAATTTCCTGTAATATATGTATATAAGGTTCCCATTCCCTGGCCCACCATTTATATGATAATTAGACAGGTTAATATATGCGATGTGACATAAAGGCACTACGTCTATTTTTAGGATATCAAGGACCAGGGGTTTCGTGAACTTTTTGGTGCTCTATACGAGGTCCTGTCCACCTGTAACGTCATGCTTGCCCAAAGGGAACACGAAAACCCGTTCCCGGAGTATACTTACCGGACATTAATAATGAAACGGAACGCCCCGAAAACCACTAGAATGCCTCGAATCCATCAAGAGCCGGAATCCCTCGACATTCGTGCGCACTTGGCAACACATTCCACTAATTCAGTTAATTAAAAATTTAATGAGCCTCTCCAAACTAAAAATACCGTCGACACGAAGCCCGAACAATTGGAACACCTGTTGGCCACGTAAAATCCTTTGACGTGTTTCCCATGGGCGAAGGATATCGCCTAGCAACCCGAAAAGGGATTTCGGGGCACAAATTGAAATGTGTTTCCCATCAAATCAGTTAGTCGGCGACCCCCTGGGGAAAATGGCTGGCTGACTGGCTGGCTACAAGATATCCGAAAATCGAAAGCGTTTTTCTCCACACTTTTCTTTTATTTTTTATGCCTGAAAGTAGGCAGCGAAAGTCGTTCCTGTGCGGCGCATAATTGAGTGGCGGCCACATCATTGTCGTCGCCGCAGTAAACTGATTTGCATACCGTCGCCAAGTCCAAGTCTCGGTCTCATTCTGGGCTTTAACTTGGCACCGGGCTCATGTCATTAGCAGGGTTACAGCTGCCAGGACGAGGGAACCACTGAGTGGGGGTGGTGGGGCTTGAAATTTACATGCCAACGCGTGACACACGCGGCGTATGCGCAACGCTTCTCATGGCTGGAGCGACAAGTGCTGCCCTTTTGGCCTTATTCCGGTGAAATTTGCACTTCCTGGAAGGGAAATGCTATGCGGAAATCGTTTTTCTTGCTGCTTATCAACTTATTCATTACACTGGCAAAAAAATTGAATTTATGGATAAATTAAAGTTACAAAAAAATAAATTTAATAAATATTATGTTTATATACAATTTTATGGAAATAAAATAAAAACCTTTAAATGAGGATTCTAGTAGGATAATTTAAGAGCAAGTCTGGATAACTTTTTGGATTAGAAGATATAATGGCTTATAGAGAATTTAATTTATTTTATTAGATTAGGGAAATTAAAAATTAAAATTATTTAGGTAAAATAAGACCTTTGATTTGATTTTATTGCACAGGACCTTTAATTTATATTTTTCGGCAGCACTGTTGTCGCCTGAGTCCTGTCTTTGCGGCGCCTTCTTCTCGGCCAACTGGCTGTCGGGGCTGCGTTTGTTTGACTTCCCCGCCCGTGTCCTGCTGGCCCGCTGCCTGGATTACATGTCTAGGGCACATCAAACAAGCTTACTTACCAATGACCTCGTTAATGACAAACACACACAGTCGCTCACAAACACACCCAAACGGTCGCACTCACAATCACACACATTAAATCCAAAAGGCGACTTTGTGTGCGTTTGCCATGCTGTTGAGTTTACTTTGTAATTTTCGCTTATCAGATTTATTTTTATTTTCATTTTTGATTTTTTGTCAGCTGCCACACAATACAAGCAGAGTTGCGGAACGTTAAAAAATGCTCTTCACCTATCGAATGCCCTGTAAATTGGAATATACGGTCATTTTCTATAGAGATATATATGGTTTTATAATATTTTTAAAACACTTTACTATACTTTCTTTTTGCTTTTAAATTAAATTATACATTTTTTTTTTAAACCTTTTACTCCCTTTATAATCGGGTATATATGGCAATATAATACTATTCCTTTAGTTTTATAATATTTCAGTTAACTAACATGGTTCCTGTATTATTTCTCTGAAATGCTAGAGGCATACCAACTTTCTTTGGCGGAACCCAAGCACCCTTTTCCATCAGAGTATTGCCGACATTACACCATCGTGTCCCATTGCTGAAGTAGTCGCCGTAGCTCTGGACCCCGGCACAGTTAAAGTAATTGCCTGGCCACTGTCGCAGTCGCCATAAAAAAGCGCCTGATTGCCGCCGGCTTCTGCTTCCTTCGCCGCCCCGTTCCCAATTCCAATCCCAATCCCAATCCACATCGGTATTTTAATGAACGGCCCGCTAATAACTCTGACAATATGTTTGCTCATGACGATTACCATTGACATCACTGCAATATACCATTGACTTGCCCTTTTTCGGGGGCAGGCAGTAAAACAAGTGCCCATGTGTATGTGGCATTTCGATACTGTATTTATCTCATCATCATCATATAACCATTAACACATGCTCTAGGTAATTACAGTACACTAAGTTTAGTTAACTATTAATTAATTGGTCGAGCGCTGCTGCTTTGTTTGTATGGTTTCAGGGAATCCATTTTCCGCTTTTCTCAGTTTCAGTTGAGGGTGTTCACTGTTCCAAGTAATTTCGAAAGCAGCCCAAAAGTATGCTATTCAGCGTATACGTTATATTTAAATAATACTTGTGTGTGTGTGTGGGTGGGTGGAGGAGTGGGTGTGGGAGTGGGTGGTGTATGGTGGGTGTGTAACATACGTAATGGTAACTACATATACATAACGAGGAGTATTTGTAAAAAAAATAGTTACAAAAATTGTGGAATCAACGCAAATCAAATTTACATATCAAAGGAATTTTTTGTTACACAACTTAACAGTGAACTACGTGCTAAAGGTGATCACTAGACTGGTGCTTTAAAGCCGTGAATATGTACCGATGTGTTTTCATTAATTAAGTTTACCTTGAGTATTATAGATATGGCTGTGAAAGTCCCAAGTGGACTTTAAAACAAATTAAAGAATTTTCATTATAATGGATAATCCATTGGAACCTGCTAGAGGTAAAGGTACATTTTAAATTTCCTTCTACTATCCAGACCTTTAATGAACCAAATTTATTTATAACAAAAAATATATGTTTTCCAATCATTTCACGTGATTTTTTCCAGCACCAGTCTAACGAGTTTGACATGCTCTATATTTTTTATTCAGTGTGGGAGGAATTTCTTTTTGTTCGTCGAGAACCGCAGGTTGGCCTCATTTTTTTGTTGTTGTTTAAGGTGTAAACTGGAATTTGCTTGCTATCAACTAAAACATTGACTAAGTTTAATTGCACCTACTGCAGCCGAGTGGCTCTTCCCCCCTCTCGATTTTCTCCTAGCTGTGCGACTTGCACAACCGGAGGAGCAGGGGATAATGGAGGTCCTCGTCGTAGAGCTCCGAATCGGCCTTTAGCTGGAGGTGCCGCTGCCAGATGGTCTCGTTATACCGCGTGGCCAGCTCCACGCGGAAGCCCCTGGCCAGGCATTCGTCCTGGAAGACGCTCAGGGTGCGACCGCGACGCGGGGCCATTATGAGGGCCGATCCCTCGGGGGCCAGATAATACCAGATGGTGTCCACCAGGGCGGAGCGCGCCTCATCGAAGAACAGGCAGTCGGCGCACAGGATAAAGTCGAACTTGGCCTGCTCCGCCGGCGATCTGCTGCACTTCTCCTGCCACTTCAACACCGAGCACTTGGTGTAACAGCTCAGCTCGTTGAGGCAAACGGTCTTCCTCACATTCTCCACCGATATCTCATTGCCGTCGGTCAGGTGGACGGCATAGGGAGTGGCGTACTTGGCCAACATGAGGCCGGCCAACGAGGTGAAGCCTCCGCCCAGCTCCAGGATCCACTTGCCCCTATACGAAGCCACCTCGGAGAGCACGAGGGCGGTCAGTGCTTCCTCCGAGGGCCAAACGCATATGTTTCCGGTATTATTAAACCCCATCAGATCGCTGGCGGTCAGCTGGCGCTCCATGTGATGTATATTCACCGAGTACTCCGCCTCGTTCTCCAGCTGCATGCGGTACTTGTACCAGTTCTCCGTCTTGCCCAAGCACTTGAGACTCACGTGATCCTCGAAGCTGTCCTGGCGCAGGAGATCGAAGCTCTTGAAGCGACGCACCGAGGCGGTTTGCTCCTCGGCAAACTCATCGCTGGAGGAGGACACTGTCTCCTCGGAGTCCTTGCGCAGCACCTTGGCCAGGATCTTCCAGCGCTTCTGGGCGGTGTTCTGCAGGTTGGGCGTGGCTGGCGGAGTGGGCGGCATGAAGGCCGCTTCGATACCCTTGTCCAGCTCGCTCTGTTCCGGCATATTGCGGTTGATGTCCTTGTCGTCCTGGCTGTTGTTGTTGATCACGGCGGCGGTGGGCAGTTCACAGCCACCCAGTCGAGCGTCCAGCGTCATCTTCTTCTGCTCCTTGAGCGCATTCAGTGTGTTGTCGATGTCGTATTGCAGTAGCAACGATATGGTGGCCAGCTGTGCCTGGTCGAGTTGAGTTTCCGTCGCCTTTTGCACTAGCGCTGCTGACATCTTACTTCAGGCCCAGTTTGTTTCACTTTCGTTTTCACTTCCCTCTCCTCAGTTTTCCATTTCCATTTTCCACCCTGTTGAAGGAAAGAAAAGACAGAACTAAGTTATAAAATTAGTCAAAGTTTTCGAAAAAGTTTTCCCCCTTCCATCGCTCGATTTTTCACTCTGCTTCGCGGCGCCCTCTTTCAGGCCCATTATTTTCCAATTATGAATTTTTAATGGCATTAAAAATGCAAATTATCCGACCATAAAAATAAAACAAATTATACCTAGCAGCGAAATCCAAAGGAAAATCTTTGGCTTCACTTCTGTCGACGAGAAGTCTATGAATATATGTACGCACATTTGTTGCTATCTACACATTTTATGGCCGACACATTTTGGAATAAAAACCAAGGTGTCGACGTTTTTTTACTGTGTTATTTTGCATGTATATATTTATAGCTTGGAAAAATTCTGTTATTGGGAATCTTAAAAAAAAACTAATTTAATAGAAAAGAAAACTGTTTAAAACTCAAAAATATTTCTTTTAAAATTTTAAAAATATATATCATTTTTAAAAAATGTATATTGGCATGTTTTTAACATTTAAACATAAAAATATTTAAACTTTTATTTTTTTCAAAATTAGTTTTAAATATATATGCTTTAATTTTATAGTGTCGGTCTACATAATTAAATTTCTGTTCATAAATCAAGCACTAGTGTTAAAATTAGCCAACCTCAACGAAAATAGAAGCAGGCATAGAAATTCAAAGAATACCCAGTAAATATACAAATCGGCTGCCTTGGCCTTTATTGTTTTGATTGTTGCACATTTTCACTCTGTATATTTTGAAAATCTGACTGGACGTACATGTACGTATAAATTCATCAAATTTAAGAAATTTTACAGCCCGTAAAAAAACGTTAATTATGCTGACGTGAAAGCGCAGACAAAGGCAGATGGCAGGTTTTCCAGCAAAAAGGCCAGCGCATTTCCCGTTTTCCACTTCCCACTGGCATATGGAGTCTATCGGTGATAAGAGAGGGCGTTCAGTTCCGATTAAAGGTATGTTTTTCCATTTGGCTGTGGGTGGTGGTGGGTGGCTTTCGCCTGACCAATGACACCTGCTCCGGAATTTCTGGACCTCACAATGTTTTACTGGATGAGCAAGGGAAATTCTTATGAATTTATGTGTTTGTCTTTTGGATTTGTTTTGGAATGGCAAAGATTCTCGGGTAAGGAACCCATGAACCTAATTGATAAACAGCTTAACCGCACATGAATATGACAGATTGCTGCACTGTTTGTTTGTTTGCTTATGCATCCGATTATAATGGCTAATAATTATTAGCTATTCCAAGCCACATTAATAATACGCACTGTTTACTGTCGCAGGCTTTGAGGTGTTTTTGGTATTTCATTAATTTCGTTGCCACCGCAAATGCGCTAATAATTACGTAGCCAAATATTGACAGTTTGACAAGTTGATACGCAGGTTGCAGGTGGACAAATATCGGGCATAAATATTTTAATTTTAATCAAAACTCGCTGTGCCGTGTGGCTTTAACGTATGTCTGTGTTTAAATTCCATTCAGATAGTGGTTAAACTTTTTTTTGCAATTAAAATAGCAAATTAAAGATTATATATTTTATTTTAATTTATTGTAGAAATTACAGATTATTAAGATAACAATTTTTTTCCAATTAAAATAGCATAATAATTATTATATATTTTAATTTTATGTCAAACAGGCAACTTTATTTTTATAAATTATTAATAAAAAAATGATTAATAAAATCATTTAAAAAATCAAGGCTAATAAACAATTGATCCAAAATAACACAATCAAAGAGAAAACCAACTGAATCTGAAATTACAGCTGACATTGCCAATTCTTGCCATTTCACTTAGTGTTCGCCATCAGTTCCTTATCAAACATTAACAACTTTGACGAAGTTCCCCCGAACTACTGAGAAGCCATCGCCAGAAACCTGATTGCTGGCCCAATAAAACTTTGCCGGGCTTAAGGAATGTTGATTTGCATTCGCCGAACGAGTAGAACATGAATATTGAGCAGCTTCCCTTCGAGGACGTGTCCGTAAGCCCGCATCCTTTTGCCTATGGCCAAAGTTTTCCGCTAAAACTTCAAGGGAACTTTAAAGTCCGACAATAAAAACCGACAATGTTTACATAATGCCCTGGAAAATCCCGCTTCAACCTGCCGGCAAAAACTTGAGACGTGGCTTGCCCAGCGCGATTAGCTTACCTTTTCCGGGGAGAATGGGGGAAAAGCACTTTGCCGTAGTTCATTTGCAAGTACAATATCGACATCGGCGGTTGCTTCAATCATTGTAAATTTAAAGTTTTTTACTCTGGCAAATTTATCCAATTCAATTCAATTCAATCACTTGAGAAACTGGCAAAAAAGTTCCCAGAACAATGAGAGAAGAAAAGGTTTTTCACTTGCCACTCGGCGGGTTTCGAAGGGAAGAGGGGGAGGGGGCAGTCGGAAAACTCGGAAAAACTCAGAAGTAAGCGGAATGACTGACGTGCGTGTTGGCAACGCAATGTGGCAGAAAGTTGCGATGGGGGTTTCCCCGTTTTCCACGCCTGTTCCTCGCTTTTCCTTCAGCTTTTCCCCCGAAATTGGCGGATCACGCGAGACTTTATAGGACATACCATATAGTATATACTATATAGCCACATCCATGTGATGAATGCCCGACGCTCGCCGCGCTCATTGCTCGCATTAACTCCTGTAATTTATTATTTATTGCAATCTACTGTCACCGAAATTTGCTCAGCTTTTCTTTTTATGTTCTCGTGCGGGTTTTTTTCGCTTTTATGATTATTATTTCGTCTCTGACCTTGGGGGCCAGAAGTGTCAACAGACACATGACTGCTGGGCATACAGACAAACAAACGCTCGACAAAGAGCCAACTGTGAAAAAGAGTTAAGAGATAACACAGTCAAATTTAATTATGAATGACAGCCCGGCATCAGAGAATTTTTAATATTCTACTAAGATAAGAGCGAAATTTTTGGGACAGAGTTTTGATTTCATTTTATGTCTTAAAGATTATTTTAAAATAGAAAAAACAAGAATACAGATTTAATATCTAAAAAAAACTCTAGTTTGTTTTCAAAATAAGTATTTAATTTTTCTTTAAATACGGAATCTTTAAAGTTGCTACCTAATTATCATGGCCAACTATTAGCTAAAATCATAAATGATAGCTGCTTTCCACTCAGTTTAGTTCAACCATTAATCATCATCATTATTTCGCTCTGTACGCAGTAATTACCTTTGGCGCACAGGGCGTATGCGTAATCGTCAAAGACTTTCAAACGCTTCCTCGTTCTCTCGAACGAGTATATTTTTTTCGAGCGTCTTAAACTTTTATTAGCGCACATAATCCCCACCGATTTACGAGCAACTAACTGTCTGAGCTATCTCTGCAGATATATGTATCAGTGTATACGAATTTATCCCAGCGATTTGTTTACTGTTTACAGGCGTAAGTTGATTTCGTCTGAGCTTTTTTTTCGATGTTTTCTCAATTTTGACTGCAGGCCAATGCCAACGCATCGATCTATATATATGTATGAAGAGGTTGGGATTTAATTTACGCTCGCATCTGGTTTTATTGTGCATTTCTTCCTTAACTCAATGCCCATTCCCATTCAGAATCCTCGGGCGGGTTCAAGTAAGTGCAAAAATGTAAATAAAAATCCAATTTTCTTCCGCCTCGCCGGTCGACGGGTGTCCGTATAAAATATTAATTAAATTATTTGCATAGCACACGGCTTCGCCACTCGGCCTTCGGTCCACCCGACCACCACCCCCTCTCGTTGGTGTCCAGAAACATTTCCGGCCTGGCCGGAAGTGGCCGGGCCGAGTGTCGCCTCCCATTTTTATTGCCTGTCACTCACTCGCATTTCCCGCTTTCTGGGGCTCGGCTAAAATAATATTTGACGCCGGGGGATGAAGAGGTTGTTCGGGGTTCAGTGTTTAGTGGGTGGTAATGGCACTACAAGGATTGGGAAAAGTGGGAACGTAGAAAAGTGGGAGGACCGCCTGTCGAGGTGAGCGAACCGCACAGCCAGCTCGTGACATTCAGGAAAAGTTCAAGGGGAATTCCCCGATCTGCAGCACTGCACAAATAATGTGATTATGCCGGACAATAATGACGGGCCAACCACATTGAGTGAGTTGCCAGAATGTTGCCAACGCCGCAGAGACTTGTATTGATTCAATTTATGGGCAGTTTTGTAAATGGTCAGGGAAAATGGGAGAGCCTAAGTGGTTTTGTAGGTATACAAAAAAGAACTTAAACAAATTAAAATGCTTTAAAACAATAATATTTAAGAAAAAGAATAAAAAAAAATATTTATTTATGAAATCCTCAAACCCCAAGTACATCTCTCCCATATATCCTTTTATAATATTCTTAACATCTCGGATTGCCTTCCAAGCATTTTTGATGTTTTTTTCCCTTGCTTTTTGGCATTTTGCAAGTTATTTGGAAATTGTGATAGCAATTTAAGCCACGTACAGCTGGAAAATTTACATATTATGCCAGGACCGTATGCTAACTCCCCCAAACCCCTTACCCTTTCTCCCATATGACAACACAATTTTCTTGTGTGCACATGCAAAAAGCGCAAATATGTAAAACATTTTGTAGAAATAACTGAAAGTCGCCAAGTTGCCAAATGGGCAGAGGGAACCTTGGGGAATTCGACTTTCCCGGGGATCTGGCAGAAATTATATTATCTACTCAAGAAATTGACCCCACTGGGGGGTCTGCCAGAGGTCCTGTCCCTTTGTCTTTGGATTCTGGGCCATAGATGGAATATCCTACAGCGTCATTGGCAGCCTCTTAATCATCACAGTCAACGACCAACATTTTTGGCAGGCGCCTCGATTTAAAAATAGCAGATAACAGGCCCCCGGAAAAAGGACAACCTTTAAGGGGCCCAAGGACACACAGCACATCGTTAGCAGCTGACATTAACATAACAAATCCAGAAAAAAGAACAAAATACAAGGGAAAGAAAACCGAGTTTCTAGTTAATCCACTTT